GTACGGTAAGTGTGTGTGTTTGTGTGTGTGTGTGTGTGTGTGTGCGCGCGAGAGAGAGAGAAAGAGAGAGAGTGTGTGTAGGCTAGAAGAAAAAAGGGGGTTAGTTTTTTTTTTTTCTCCTGCTGTAAATGCCATCGGCACTTCCATCTGTGTGTCACTTCACATCTGAAGCCCATCAGAAAAAAAAAAACGCCTGACCACGCGTCCACCACAATTCCGCAGGTCAGTAAATATTCGGATTTATATTTCCCGTCGATTATTTGAACTAATTCTAGCTCTTTTACAATTAGCCTAGCTCCCAAAAACTGTCGAATAGCCTACATTGATTTGCTTCCATAGCGTTGTGCATGCCAGCTCTTCTGATGCTTTGTCCCTCCATTTCATGTTTTTGGTGCAGATACATATTTGGTTTTGCGGTTTGTTTCTGTTCAATATATATTTTTCATCGACACTCATGCATGTTTTTGTTCAGTATGAGGGTGGTACAGTCATTTAACAAATTTCAGACGTGTAGATGACAACTCTCATGAGCTTATTCATTTCACCCGACAGAAATAGGCTATGCGTTTCACCAGCACCCACGTCCACTTTCCGACAATTGGGGTAGGATTTTTATGGACGCCCTTGTATTTTAAGAGTCATTTTCCCGCCTGCCGTCCTCTAGATGAAGGATTTTAATGATCTATTACCACCTGAGTGTGAGCAAGTATGCTTCCCTTAACCCGTGAAATTGATCTGATTAGCCCCGCAATGGGTCATAAAGAGAAGTGGATTTGCTGAAACTGCGCTTCCAGTGTGTGTGTGTGTGTGTGTGTGTGTGTGGAGAGAGAGGGAGAGAGAGAGGGAGAGAGAGGATGCATCTGTGTTGCTGGTTTGAAGAGCATTGAAAACAGAAAGAAGAGGACGCGACATTAAGGCACATCATAGGCCGTCTTTCATGGGCGCAAGCTCGTTTGGTTTGTATTTGCATGTAGAAGAGCAGCAGCTTCCATTGATTTGGAGCTGAATGCGCGTAAAACAGCTGTTTCTCCCTGATAGCACGAGACCGGCCACTCCATTCAGCTGCACAGTGAAATGATCTGAAACCATGTCCTCAAATCAGCACTCGACCGAATGCAATAGATGCACTTTTTGTCTGAACGACAATATTCTTGCGATGCGCCGCCTTTGTTTATGAAGTTGTTACATCCGACATCCCAAAAAGAGCACCAGTGGAGATCAAATAAATACATTAGGCCTACAGCATGCCGAACACAGGGTGATATTATACGAGCAGACGGATTTATATTTCGAAGGCTAATATATCGGAGATGGATTAACGAGAACGAATAACCAACGGAGAGTAGCCTAAATAACGAATATTTTTGGAAGTGAATTGTTTGGCCTGTTGCAGATGTTTCAAGCTCTGCTATCATCATAGGCTCCGCATGAAAACCTTTAGTCTTTAGATGTCTGTCTTTCGAGCGATGAGTTATTAAAAACAAAACCTGCACTCGAGGCTCCAGCGTTTTTCCCCCTGCCATTTTATTTTGTCAGTTGTTCTTAGAAATTAGTCAAACTCTCATTATGACGCAACTATCAGAATTTCACGTCCTCGACTGGGTTCTAAGAATTTGCTGTATAACCTACATAGGACAAGATCACACAGCATACGAATTCAGAAAGAAAGTTCGTTCTTGAAAAGACGAAGTTTATGAATTATAATCCGCCCAAGTCTGTCTTAATGTTCCGAGTTACCCTTTATCCGTTGTTGTTGTTATTATTATGATTATTATTTTTCATAATAATTGTTTTATAACATTAGCCTACTGGTATTACAATACATACCAACACAATTTTGTTTCTCCAAATTGCGTTTACAGTTAAGCTCCTTTGTGATTTTCCACAGCTTGTAACTGAGAGGAGAAACGTTTTGTTGCTTAAAAATAAATGTGACGAACAAGCTTTCAAATGCGTGAATATTGCAAGTGTAGCGCTCATGTTTCGTTATTGACCCCCCTCCCCTGTCTTTATCGTTCGGTAGCTGGGGTGAAGTGTGTGTCCTCTGGTTCACCCCGCTCTGTTTGGACAGCTTTACCTGGGCAGTCTATGGCGACCCTTTCATCAAATCTCCTCACATTTTCAACTGGTCACAGACGTCATGGAGGCTTGCATTTAAAATATTATTCATCATTCATATAGGCCTATATATATATATATATATATATATATATATATATATGCATGTGTATAATGTGTGTGTGTATAGTCATATATGAGAAATGAGAAAATCAGTCAAGCTGAAGATAACAATCGCACTCACCTCCACTATCAACCAAAAATGAAAGCGGGTGAGAACGCAGTGTTGTTTTGATTGTTTATTATATAATTAAATTGTATATATTACAAAAAAACACGATAACAACAAGAGTGCTGCTACTACTAACACTAACAATAAAAGCAAGCTTGCTTTTTTACTAATGTCATATTATTATTGTGCAGCATGTTGTTTTTGATGGCCATACTGTCATGACCAGCTTTCTAATTTTATCATCTACCCCCCCCCCCCCCCCGTTCGAAAACACACTTCGCCAAAATTATTACAAAAAGCTTTTATGCGTTTATAAATGGTGCTCGATAAAAACAAAGCGTTCTTATCAGCGCACATCTGCTAACCCTTGTTATAGGATAGACTAAAATAAAACGGCCGGGTCTTAAGTTCTCACCCACAGTGAAAAGTGTGATGCCTCCTGATTTTAATCTGCCTTGCCTGACATAATCATTCACAAATTATCTACCCAATCTTCAACCTGACCCAGTATCGCTGTCTACCACCGATTTACTATGCCGTCAATGAATCAGCTTGCTGGCCCGAGCTAAAATAGACTGGGTCTGATTTAAAATCATCCCACCCTTCATTATATATAGCCATAGTGTGTATATATATATATATATATATATATATATAGGCTGTGTGTGTGTGTGTGTGTGTGTGTGTGTGTGTGTGTGTTTCACATCTTTCTATTTATCTAGGCCTATATGATTATATAGCCTATACTATGCCTATATATAGACTATAGCCTATGTATCGAATTATTTATTCCTATTATTTATTTATTTTTTTGCTTTCTTTTTTCCTTGTGTTACACATTACAGCTGTAGGATTGTAGTCCATATTTTGTTTTGACAGCCCGAAGTGTGATACATTACAACATTTTCTTGTGAGGGCGCCTCAAATACTTCCCAAACTCCGTCTGTAGTGTTCGGAACGGCTTCTATCCATGTCCCGCGCACTAAGCTTAAGACATTCAGTCAAGAAACAAAACACATAATCAGGATTTCACTTTTACCGTCGCGCGTTGTCTTCGAGTACCTCTAATGTACGCTCGCGCGCGGGATAATAGCTCGCGCGGATCATTACACGCGTCCGCTGACAGCTCGACAATGACAGTGAGCCAGTGCAACACTTTCCATCCAACTTCGGTCTTTACTAGCGAAAGAAGAGGCTTTCCTCTTCGTACGGGAGGGAGAGAAAATACACGTCCTGAATCAGCATTTTCAACCATTTCTCTTCTAATAGCCTATGTTGGGGTTTTTTTTTTAAGATGAGGGAAGCTACGTCGCACGAATTGAAATTATGGTTATTGGTATAGCCTGTTTATTAGCCTATATACGTATTTTTCGTTTGAAATCACATTCTTTGAGTTGCAGGGGAATTTATCGTTTTCTGGACACCTTGCTTTCGCGAGATGAACATAATCAGAGCACACATTTTACCTCCAATGCGTAGAGTCTATTTCCTGCCTGTTTACTGACGTCACGTCCAGTAGCGTCGACAGGGCTGGCCATCGTCTGCGCATTTCAGACCATCAAACGAGCAGCCCAATTATATTTAGTCAATCTGTGGGGACGGGACGGCCAAACCGGAGCATTACAGACAAAATATCACCCTAAGGGCCAAGCCCCCTTATTACAGTGCTATAATAGCGAATAATCTCTACCTGACACTGCTCCCTAATATGGCAATAAATAGGCTACGTTCCCCATTGCATATCAAGGTTACAGTTTTAACCGCGCATATACTAAAACTGTAATTTATTTGCATCGCAACATGTAATGGCTCCTTAAATGAATTATGATGTTGATGTCCTTCACGGAGTAGCCTAAAGAACACAGACTAGCAGCCGGGGAAAGCCCGTGTTTTAAAGTGCGAGAAGAGAGAAAGGACTCTGTCGCAGTCAGGGTTTAAGAGCCTCTTTTGAACATTCATAGGGAACCATTAGACAAACGTGCTTGTCACCGCGAGAGGACGCACTGTCACAATTTAAAAGAGAATACACTCAACACAAGCTGATAGCACACACAGACACACACACACTCACACAGTCGTGTTGACCATAGAACAACGATGGTTCCCGTTAGGGCATATTGATAGTTCCGTATTTATATGTTTATTTATATTATATGCAGCTAATAAATACTTCCCAAAAAATCTAAGAAATAATTTTTGGAGATTGAGAAGACATATTTATGTTTCTATTTCATACCCTGGCATGGTCCTGATTTAAATGTTTTACTTTTACCCTAGGAATATATATGTATATATATATAGGCTATAAATATTCTATTATGTGCAGTACACTTTTGGTTGCAATATGTAGGCTACCCTTCAGATACTAATATGGATTATTTGGGTACAAATGTGTGCTTGCAAATGTGTGCTTGAGAGAATTGCTACTTTATTTATGAACCAATTTTTATTTATGTTTTTTTTTTTAAACCAAGCCTTAATATTTAAATAGTAGCCTGCTTGTGTTTTTATAAATATTGTGTACACGTTAAGACGGTCCACTAAAAAAAAAAAAACACTCCATTCTGTACGTATATGAATGGGAAGCAGAATTGGGCGCAGCTCCTGGTCATCTTTCCCTGGCCCACTTTATTCAATTAGTCCAGGCTGTTGGGCCCCGCCCCTGCTGATGACACCACAGACCCTCCTTAAGTTGCGTCGCGCCACAGCTGTCTGCGAGCATTGAGCTGACTGGCGCCATCCTGAAAGAATGCCTTCACTGTAAAAAAAACACAGAGAGAGCAGTGCATTCAGAGACAGAGGGAGTGAGCACTAGAGAGAGAGAGAGAGAGAGGGAGGGATGGACATAGAGTAAGAGGGAAGAGGGTTACTACTGCGCATAAACACAGATTTGATCAAACTTGTGTTCACTCATAAGGCAGAAAACTTATTCAGATCGACCCGGCTCGGCCTGAAAGCGTCAAGCTCACTTGTTGAGTATACGCAGCGCAATTGAAATACTTGGCGGAACTTGACGCGCGCGTTTGGATGCGTACGCGGACTTATGACCAACAATAGTAGCATAAATCCATTTGACTTTCAGAAGTTAACGCGCGTTTATTGAATACGGATCCAGTTTTATACAAGCTTCTGACAATTTGCCAATGACAGAAAGAACACAAGCGAGCGGACGGACTTTGTAAAAAAACAAAAAACAAACAAATTGTCTTGTTCAATTTCAGGTGATCGGAAGTTCAAAATATTCGAACCAGTGGATTAAACAAAGGAGGAGTTTGGACTTTTTTTGAACTCTCGTGTTGTGTGTATCGGTGATTGTATGAACGTTTGCTGAGAAAAAAGAGAGAAAACGATGGAAGTAAGTCCGGAGCAACCCCGATGGATGACCCATCATCACCCGGTCATTAACGGCCAGCATCCCGAGTCACACCACCCGGGACTGGGACACTCCTACATGGACCCGTCGCAGTATCAACTTGCGGAAGAAGCGGAGAGTATATTGTTTAATATCGACGGACAGAGCAGCCACCCGTACTACGGGAACTCGGTTCGGGCCGTGCAGAGGTACCCACCGCCACCTCACAGTAAGTAGACGAAACCAGTCCTAATTCTATAACCAGTTAGGCTATTTTACATTTCTTCATCTATGTTCTAACTGAATGAATACCATGTACCAGGAAAGGAACTATTCTTATGATTGTAGAAAAAATGCAGTATATGTGTGGCTTACCTGAAATGGTGTGTCACTGGTTTCACATCTTTCTAGTATTATTTAACTTTTTGGGTCATACAACAATACTAGGCTAGATAATCCAATGTATTCCTTTCATTTTAGAAAGCCTTTAATTTAATTCAAGTGTGATAAAAAATGTTATTCGAAAACACGATTGGTGTAAATATGCTACGGTGGAAATATTTATATTCGCACTAGCTGGGGATTTAATTGAATGATTTTTTAGGAGTCTCTAAATTACGAAGCGCATTTTTCCCCTGATATGTGCACTTGCATTTTTAGTGCGGAAGAAAAATTGCTTTATTTTATTGACTTCCTGAGCGGAATAGGGCAAAAGCGTGATCTCGTTTGAATCGCCCCAAACACATCAAAATCCTCAGTAGATACTGGGTGGGTGAGTTATCGAAACTCGCGAGTGCTGTTAATTGGGACCCTTTGCGCCATCGAAAGCCTCTCAGAGTAATGTAGGCCTTTACGTGCAGTTTCACAGTGTTACTCATTAAGAAGTTGCACTAGTTCTTTTATGCAACACAAGGGTTTCGGCGCCCGTAAAAATAGATATCAATCAAAACGTAGCCTGCTTGTTGTAAAAATAGGCTATTTATCTTCACCATCTTTTTTTTGTGTATGCATAGCCTATATATATATATATATATATATATATATAATGGTTCTGATGTTATTTCGTGGCCCCATCTCGTCCTGTCCTAACAGCAGGCTTGTCTTTTGTTTCCGCAGGTAGTCAGGTGTGTCGCCCACCGTTGCTGCCCGGCTCTCTTTCTTGGCTCGATGGAAGTAAACCTATCGGCTCTCACCACAGTACCTCCCCTTGGAACCTCGGGCCTTTCCCCAAAACTTCCATACACCACAGTTCCCCTGGGCCTCTGTCCGTCTACCCCCCAGCCTCTTCCTCCTCGCTGTCCGCTGGCCACCCGAGCCCACACCTCTTCACCTTTCCCCCCACTCCACCCAAAGATGTGTCCCCTGACCCCTCAATTTCCACGTCAGGCTCGGGCTCATCCATACGACATGAGGACAAAGAGTGCATTAAGTACCCGGTGTCTCTGGAAAGCATGAAGCTGGATTCGGCTCATAGTCGGAGCATGGCCTCTATCGGAGCGGGCGCGTCCTCCGCGCACCATCCCATCGCCGCTTACCCTTCCTATGTGTCCGATTACGGGCCGGGGCTCTTCCCACCAAGTAGCCTGATAGGTGGGTCCTCTTCTAGTTATGGTTCCAAAACGAGACCAAAAACAAGGTCCTGTTCAGGTAGGCGTGCGCTTTACTACCCTTTGATTTTTTACTAACATAATTATAGTCAGATCATTCAACAGTTGGGCTCTATTATTGTGCACTTGCCATTCTTTTCGTTTTCCACAAAAACAGCCTCCCAGGTTATCCAATTCCCAGACTATTGATTTGGTTCAGCTCTTTTTTTTTTTGGTCTGTGCCAAGGCTTGGCTATCGAATTTGGGCACGGTCCACATCCCCTGTTCAAAGAATGACTCCACTTCTTAAATCTGACGTGATTCATGATGTTACACCGAGATAAGGCTATAAAACATATAGGCATAAAGGCATATATTTTAAAAATATATAATGATAAATAAATCATTTTTTTTTATTTGAGTTAGTTTATAATCCTGTTCGCTTGATTAATTTAAGATGCCATAATCTCATCTATTTTTGTTTTGTTGTGGTATCATTTTAAAATAATCAAGGCGCGATAGACGTTATCTTTTATAGAAATTAAAGATTTATTAACACGTCTGCTGCCTTACAGAATTTCATTATATTATATCTAATGTCATTTAGCTACAAAGCGGAATTAGCCTCCCTGATTTATTAAACGTCGCTCAGCATATGCAGATGAGCCCTACACGTTTAAAGCGGAGCGCGAGGGTTTTCCGGATGTAGATGTGTGTGTGTGTGTGTGTGTTTTCTCTCTCATCTCTTGCTCCTCTTGTGCCTCGCAGTGCACGGCCCCATCTCTCTCGCGTTTATATGTTTAAGCTAATCCAATTATTTTCAGACTGCTGCACGCGACAGTTGCATTGTTTACTTTGCGCAGAAACTTTGATAGAGTCCGGATGCGCCGCGGATCGCTCGGAATAACGAATGAGCTGGCGCAATGCGCGGCCGACATGCACAGACAGTGTTATCCAAACACACAGAGAAAATCATTTCAAAAGGTCAACCAGCTTTTTGAATGCGATTAGCACAGACCATTTTTTGAAATCAGTCTATTCATAGCGACATGTTTTATGACAACATCTATTCACCTCATTCATAATTTAATTTTTGTGTCAAGTTTTAGATAGCCTACATGTTATTGATGACATTTAAATTGGTTGCTGTTTTATTATATATTGGTAGGCCTACATTGAATATTTTGCACATCATATAGGCTAATAATTCCTCTAAAGGTCTAGTTTTGTTTTTGAAACTAAACATGAAGGCGATAAGCTCCGTTATTGCGTGCGTCTCTATCTGTGGTAATGTGCTCGCGAGCTTTTGTGGGTTTGGGGCAGTTTGCAAAAGAGTTTTGCGCCACAAATGAGGGCAGAAATGCTGCTGGGTAAGGGGGTGGGGGGTGTTGGGGTTGGGGGCTGCACGACGAGGTTGTTTTTCGTTTCAGCGGAGCGACCGGAGGCGTGGGTCACTGAACATGTGAGGCGCGCGCCCTTTACCTGTCAGTCAAACGGAAAGAATGCCAATCAAACGCTACTGTGTTTTAATTACGTAAAGAGAGCAGGTTACACAATGAGTTAATTAGACCGACGCTTTCACTTACTGTTACCCAATCCATTTAACACGATTTCAGCCATAACGCCTAAAATCAAATGTAACATATCAGAATAATTATTTCAAGGTGATTGTATATAGCGATTTATTTTCATTTGCATTATTATTATTTGCACAGTGCAGTCACGTGGTTTAGAAACCGGGAGGTTGTTTCTGTGGAAATTGAGTCTTTATTCATCTATATTATAGTTGCGATTCCCTCTTCTAATGAATGATGCAGTATTTCCAACGCATCGTTGTTTAGAGCATGAAACGTTTGATAAAACCTCTGAAGAACACATTTTCACAGCATTGCCTACTTAGAACCGCTAAGTTATTTGTAGATCTTATCAGATGATGTCATATTTGACAATTGAGAAGTTAAGCTCAGTGATGTCATATTAGACAATGTTTTTTTATATATATTTGGTAATGCATTAATAATAGTAACAACAACAATAATAACAATAACAACCATTTGTTATTAATGCATTCCATAATCATTTTTTTTTATCCATGCGAATTTTTAGAATGTGTACGCCCTTTCATTAGTATTGAATTATTAGTAATTGCTATGTGTGCATACTTGTATAATATTAATACAATTATTAGTCATTATTTTTGTGTGTAAAATGTTGATATTTAATATTGTGTTTTGTTTTAATAAATCAAAGCGACTGCGCCACTGGTGTTTTTAGTGTGCTCACCAATGGCCTAAGATTGTGTAGTTGTGATTGTGCATGGAAGTGTGTTTCAGTGGTTCTAAAAAATCAGTTGTGCATGCGTGTGTGTGTCTCTGTTGGCAGAGGGTAGAGAATGTGTTAACTGCGGGGCCACCTCGACTCCTCTGTGGCGGAGGGATGGCACCGGTCACTATTTGTGTAACGCCTGCGGACTATACCACAAGATGAACGGACAGAACCGACCCCTCATCAAGCCCAAGCGGAGGCTGGTATGTTGCTCTATAGCACTGTATTAATGACACTTCTGTCTTTCTCTTTCTCTACCCAGGAAGAAGTGTTAGCTGCAAGAAATTGACTCGCCAAGCGCAGGTCTCGTTTTTTTTAGATTAAGCAATAGCAGTTATTATTATTATTATTATTAGCAATAATTGTTAAGTTATTTTTTTTCTGTTTCAATTTTTATTTATTTATTATTTATTTATTTTGATTTATTTTCCCCCGCTCGAACACACAAATCCCCGGTTAAATTTATTTCATCGCAAATATTGCTGACACCGTGTCTACACGTCAGCATAACGAAATTCGTCACGGAGAGACTTCAAAGTGTTGTGAAACGAGCGCTCATCTCAAACGAGTATACGCGTGGGAGGCGATCAGCTCGAACAGGTCAAATATGTCTGCAGAAATTAGGTTCAATTCTGACAATGCGCAAATTCATCAGGGACACTGTTTCACAGGGATTTAATAAACGAGAGAGAGAGAGAGAGAGAGGGGAACACTGTGTTTTCAATGGCCTACTCCGGCTTTGGATAGAGTCGAAGCTCTTGAGGCGCAGAGAAATAGTCCGAGCGCTGCTATTTTGGCATTGGCCTTCTCTCTCCCTCTCTAATGTGAAAAGCCGACTTCCCAGGAAAAGACTGGCGGATATCTGAGCGCAGCTGATAAAACTCCTCGAACAACAGCGCTCGCTCCCGCAGTCTAAACATACGGGCGAGAACGCGCAGACAGGAGTCATGACTTCAGATTGATCTTCACTGAGCCAAAAAAAAAAAAAAAAACTCTAGAAATAATACTATGAAGAAGAATTCAACAGGAATAAAGAATTGACGGACAAATGTTGCCTAATTTGAATTTAATTCATTTGGCTATACAATTTAGCTTTCTTTTTTTATTGCACAAACGAAAAACAAACAATAAAAAGACATCTATTATGACGCTTCGTCAATCAATTGAATTCAACGACGCATTAATGGATAATTTGCCAATATTAAATCTAAACGGGCGCATGATTTTTTCTTTAGTCCGTTTTTAAAACATGTTGCTGATCCCTACATATTCATTGCATTTATTTTGAATTTTCCTTTCCCCCTATTATTATTTTGTTTGTTTGTTTTACTTATGATAATTGATTATGTCAGTAACTGCTTATAATTAATAATTCTAACTGCTTTTAATCAATGCATGTTAATTTAGAGCAAGCTATTTCAGTGCAGCATATTGATGTGAATAAAGATGGCTAATATCTAACTTGAAGGTTGATGTTTAAACGTGGATCCATTTCATGCAGAGCCGCTGTTTCTCCATCATTTAACGGGAAAATGTCATCAGCTTTTAATGGGCACTATTTAAACCAGCGCTTTCATGTCCTCTGTAAATATTTAGGTTTGAGAGGGCATGTGTGCAAGGCACTATTTTTACCCGAGAGTTTAAGGCACCAGTGTTATGGAGATCCTCTTTTCCTCTCACATAGTTCTGCATCGCTTAAAAAACATTTGCAAGCTCAGGAAACAGGAGGGTTGGGGGCCATTAGCACTGTAGGAATGTAATCATCATCTTTGCTTATTATATTATGAGGGTAATAACTGTGATTCTTTCTCTTTCTGTGTGTCCATCAGTCGGCTGCCAGACGAGCAGGGACCTCATGCGCAAACTGTCAAACGACCACGACGACACTGTGGCGGAGAAATGCCAACGGCGATCCCGTCTGCAATGCCTGCGGCCTCTATTACAAATTACACAATGTAAGCTCCATAGCTGTCTTACACTTATCTAGTAAGATATTTTCTATCTTCTTTTTGCATGATGGCACCTTTCATGTCATGCCATTTCTTTCTTTCATTCAGTCTTTCTTTCTTTCTTTCTTTCTTTCTTTCTTTCTTTCTTTCTTTCTTTCTTTCTTTCTTTCTTTCTTTCTTTCTTTCTTTCTTTCTTTCACAACATTCACAACATTGTGAGAAGTGAATCGAACTACTCAAAAATCACTACAAATTTATAATAATGGACCATTATGATAATCGATCACACCCAAAGAAAAAGGTCTGATTGGCCCACTGTAAAAAAAAATGTATTTTCATGTTTTTGCATTGCTTTAACTCATAACTTTAAGTTAGTCAAGATCCAACTCATTTTTTTGAGTCAGTTTAATGTAATTTAAGTTTTAAGTTGATTGTACTTAAAAATTTAAGTTAGAAACGTTTTTCGATCCCCGGGGACAACTTAACCCATTCTAAAACGTTTTTTTTATTATTATTATTATTAAATTTCCCAATGGTCGCAAGACGTTCGGGTCAATTACCCACTGAGATTTGTTTTGTTCTTCCTCATATTATTTATTTTTATTTCTATTATGTTGGAGCTAAACTGCTAGTACTGATGTACTATTGAATTACGCATCAGTTGGTGGTATTTCTATGTTAAACATATGCCGGGGAACATTTTCATTCTACCTAATCAGCTCTGGTATCCTGTATCATCACACTTTGAGGCCCCCGCGGTCCTGTTACACTCATCTACTAGTCACGCAAGCTTTTAAATCATTTTGCCATGTTGGTTTTGACTGTTTTGTAAGAATTCGAGAGAGAAAAAAAATCGTCTAAACGTGACCTGGGTTATCAGAGATACAAATAACACATTATCATTTGAAACAACCAAGCGTTTGGATAATTGGAAAATGAGTTTTTAGTCCGTTAAGGTCGGCCTGCTTTGAATCAAATTCCAAATTTTGCATGCTAAATTAAGCTCTCTCCAGAGTTCGCATGTTTGCATTATCACTCCCATATCTCATTAAGCCGACAGGGATTTGTCATAACTGATTTGTGATTGTATTTGTATGTATGTCTGTCAGTTTGGGGTTAGACTTCTGACCCATTTCTTATTCAGTTCTTTTTTTTTATGTGGTTATTTTAAGCCCAAAAAAAGTTAAACTGAACAACAAGAGTGTTTCTAATAGCCGACAAGCATGTGTTTTCTGTGATGCCCAATGGAGATGTTTCAAATGAACAGTTTCGCTTTGGGGTGTGAGTTCACACACAAACACAAACACACACTGGCACTCACATTTACACTAGTGGTTGGCCAATATGGGATTTCCGATAACAGGCGTCAGTGCAGATGTGTAGGGCACAGCGTGGCAAAATTTTTTGTAGATATATATTTTTTTTATATAGTTAGCAAATGAGCGCATTTTTACAAATTTCGAAATTTCTGAAAATAACGATTCGATTCAACACTACTAAAAAACTTGCTGGCTTACTTTTCTTTTAAGTACAATCAACTTGAATGTTTGTCATTTCAACTTAAATTACATTAAACTGACTTGTATAACGTATAACTAAAGTTGAATGTTGCTTAACTTGTTTTGATGTGTTAAAGCAATGTGAAAACATGTTGTCATAACTTATTGATCATAACATTTACTTAAAATGTACTCACATTCACATTTTTTGTGGGTTTTATCAGTCTTTCATAAATCAAAATGGTGAAATAACATCCATAAACAAGTACTTCTTAGTATCACTTAATAGCTCTTGCGCAAAGCATGCAGAGTGTTTTAAGACAGAGACAGAGAGAGAGAGAGAAAGAAACAGTCCAATTATGGGGTGAAAGAAGCAGGCTTTGGCAGACGGACGTGGCAGTGCTACTGTGCTTGAACCCGGCTGGCCAGAGTCTGGGGTTTCTCTCTTTGGCAAGACTGGCACCGGGAACCAGAAGCTAAATCCAGCCTAGTCCTATGACCTGACATACACACTTGTATACAGACACGCTCACTCGAACAAAGAAACCAATATATCTGTCTTATAATGAAACTCTACATACCATCAGAACATGCTTGGACTCAATAAAGCATTAAAGAGTCTCACTGTGAGTGTGTAAAGTGACCCTCATTGTTTGATCAAATCCTAATACTAGAAACCACAACTTAAAGAGCTTTCAACTTGCTCGTAAGAAGGAGAAATTGTAAATGAGATCTCAATTGTTTCTCCAAGACAGCAATTACAGAGATTAGATGGAGCGAGCTTTTGCTTAAAGGGATAAGTCACCCAAAAAAAGGAATTTTCTATCATTATTTACTCGTTCCAAACCTCACTCGAACACAGACTTTCTTCTGTGGACCACAAATGAAAGAATGTTTCACTGTAAAAAAAAATAATTTCAAGATTTGTTATCACAACATATTTTCTTTTGTCAAATCAACTTTATAATAATTTATTTAGTTCAGATGACTTATTATTTTGAGTTTCTGAGGATTCAATTAATCTCCTTCATTGTATTAACTCACTTTTTCCAGTTCAATCAACTTAAAATTTGAAGGCAACCCAGGTTACTTACTTTTTTAAGTCAAACCAACAATATTTTTTTACACTGTGGTAATCACATTTTTTCTTTTGTCAAATCAACTTAAATAATTTATTTAGTTCAAATAACATATCATTTTGAGTTTCTGATGATTAAATCATCCTCCTTCATTGCATTAACTCACTTTTTCCAGTTCAATGAACTTACAATTTTAAGGCAACGAGGTTACTTACTTTATTAAGTTAGAAACAACATTAGACTCGTACTGTATGTACATTCAAAAATCTGAAATTTGATTATGAACATTATAATCTGAGCTGTCCACATTCATTTGACCATATCAACAACCGCCTCCTTGGTGTCTATTTTTATTTCTCATTGGGAATTTTTAGGAGAAACATCTGAGATGAAATTAATACCTAAAGGAAACATAGCTGGATTTAGGTCTTCTAAAATATGAAGGACTGATCTCTTAGCAATAATGTGTTCAATCAAAATAACGTCTTTTGTAACCGTGGCCATTACTAAAAGTCTGCCGTGTCTCTCTCCTCGCAGATCAACCGACCGCTCACAATGAAGAAGGAGGGCATCCAGACCCGGAACAGGAAGATGTCCAGCAAGTCCAAGAAGAGCAAAAAGTCCCATGATAGCATGGATGATTTCTCCAAAAGCTTAATGGAAAAGAACAGTTCCTTCAGCCCGGCCGCCCTGTCGCGTCACATGAGCTCGTTCCCTCCCTTCTCGCACTCCGGCCACATGTTGACCACGCCCACCCCCATGCACCCCTCTTCCAGCTTGCCCTTCGCCCCCCACCACCCCTCCAGTATGGTGACGGCGATGGGCTAGAGCACCCCGCTACCTCCGACCGCCCAATCTCCCGACGGTGGACGTCTCAAAGCACCGTTAACCTTGAAGCCTGTCACCCGCCGCAACCCTCCGACCTTGAACCAGCTCTCTAACGTGCACCCCCCTTCCCCGCTTAAAACGGTAACCCCCCCCCCCACCCCAACCCCGCATTATGAGGGAGAGACAGTGAGAGTGAAAGAGAAAAGACAATGACTTTCTTCATCGCCCCACCAAACAACCTTCATTTGTGTACAAATGCCATCTTTCCTGTGGGCATCAAGGCACAGCCATTACAAGACTTTAAACTAAGCTTCTCTAATTCCCCAAACCTGCTCCTTTTCTTCTTCTACGCATCTCCTATTCTTCGCCCCCACTTCCCCTCCCAGTGAGACACGAGGAATCGAGCTGTGAATGACAACAGGAGATGAACTCTGCATATATTTGTAAAAAAAAAAATGTCTGAAATACGTTTAATGAAGACTTTTTAAAGGACAAAATGAGAAAAAGGCGAGGACAGGAAATGCCCGTGGGCAGCTAATGATGAGAAGGGTACGACTTAAACCTGGAAGATGGAACGGCGCGGCGACGTGGCCCGCGATTTCTATCCGAATGATGAAAAAAGTAGGAGATGAGACGTAGGGAGAAGAAAAGTAGAAAGGAAAATGGTGTGTAATGCATTAAAACTTGTAGTCAGGTCTGTTTCACAGACTTCCAGCTACTATTCTGGATGTGTTATAGGTCTTGGGCAATTGGTTTGTGTTCACACACACACACACGCACGCACACACACACATATACACACATGAAAGACTTCTTTGGGCCCAGGTTATATGCATTGTGAAAAAAAGTTCCTGTATTTGTTATTTGTATGTATAATTCAGAGTACCAAAAATACGAAAGAAACAAAGATGTAGAATTATTTCTTTATGTAATGCAGACTGAATGGTTGTACAAATTTAATAATCACTAGTGTAAAAAAAAGACTTGATTTTTGTTGCGTAATTTTTTTTTTTTTTTTCCCTCTTTGAAAATAATAAACTAGTTTAATCTCTGTTGACATCACACGAGAACACAACGGTGAACGCTTTTGTGCGTGTTCTTGCATACGACTTTGTGTGTGGATGCGAGAGTGAGCTTTTGTGAGTGTGTCGATGCGTATGTGTGATATCTGACACATGGCTTTTTGCTAGCCACAAGGACACCTCTAGATTTACCCAGAATGCTGCTGGCCGCGTACCAACAGGAAGCCTAGAAATAAACAGAGATGTCGTGAGGGACTCGACTCAGCCTACAGCTCTTCACGAGACCGATTTGACTTTGACATTCCACCAACACCGCTGCTAGCATGCTAGTCACATCAGAAATGCTTTCTGAACATGTCAGGACAGAGATAAGAGTGTTTGCGGTCAAGAGACTGAAATCTTTCCGTCCAATTTGGGTTGAAAATAAAATCGGTTAATGCTTCAAATCTTTATCTTGACAATAACAAATTCGATCCATGATTTATCTTGGAGGATACATAATACAATGTAATCTAAAAGCAAATTGCATGTCAAAAACAATGTAATGACTTGATGTCAAGTCAACCAGACAATTCAGTGATGATTATGGCAATTAAATCTATATTTGCAGAGAGACAAGTCATTGATCTTTAGTTTTAGAGTCACATCTTGTAACAGAACATGGTTAACAGAAGCAAAGCCTTATGGGTAGAGTAGTGTAAAAGGTACCTCAGCAGAAAACACCCTGTACACAGTAAGTCGAAGAAACTAATAAGTGTGCAAGAAGTGTTTTTATGGTGAGATGAGGCCTGAGTTGACATCTCAAGGGTCATTTTTCAATGCAATTTGGATCTTGACCAGGTTGAATGTCTCTGAACTAAAAAAAAACAAAACAAGAAATACATTTGGGCTAACACCACAATTCAGAACTGTTTGGTGGGGGACACAAATCAATAAGAGACAACGCATGAACATTAAAAGTGTTCAAAAGCAGTCGTTACATGAAGCGGAAATCTTTTTTCTTTTCTTTTTTTTCACAGCCGCCTTTGATCAGTGGTTCATTGTCGGTTTGCTGGGTCACTGCTTACAGTTCCATTGTAGCTAGCCATGGTCTTCACCCCATTAGTTTTTATGGGTCGTAGAGAAAGGACCTGCCCTAAAGGTTTTTGTTTGATTATAAAGCGTTCACTTTGTAGAAGAACTGTTAACTTAAAAAACTATATGTAATGTGAACGATACATATGTTTAATAGCGCTCTATCTTTTATAGCTTTATGTTATGCTAACCACGCTAAGTTCAAAGAAACATTCATCATTAACCAAAGCTAATTCTTATTATGCTTTTCTCAAAAAAAATGACTGAAATATTTCATCATGGTTAAGATGTACAATCCTGCAGGCAAGTAAATGTAGAAAAACAAACATTAGTAGCCTAATACACATGGCTGATTTAAAATTAGCGTCATGCTACATTTTACATAGGGCAGTTAGGGAATACATTGTGCGATTCATTTGCATGTTACTTTTTCTTAACAGAATGAATATGGAGCTGCATACATTTTGTTTTGCTGTTGTGGTTTCCACATTTGCATACAGCCTGTACTGATGACACATTAGCATGCTAAGAAACTTTCTCTGTGAAGTCCTAAAAAGAGGAACTAACCCCAGACCACAGGGAAGCCAAGGACGCATTTACTTAGATGCACTCAAAGTAAAACAAAAACAGAAACAATCTCTTATTTGATAAAGGACGATTATTTATACATAAAAGGGCTACTTCTGTTAGCATAGTGTATTTAAAAACACTTGCGTCAGGTTCAGGTTTTGCAAATATGAACGTGTCGGAATGTCCCGTTGCCCTTTACTGCCCTTTACTGCTCATTACTGTTGTAATGGCCATAATGAGCGACATGAAAATGCAGAGAGAGAGAGAGAGTGAGTGAGAGTTTAACAAACGGCTTTATGCCGACTATATTAATGTGCAAGAGTGTGCGTATATGCAAATGTATGGCTCTACGAGACTGAGTGCCACGTCTGAGGCAACACTTTTTGCATGTTAAATCATCAGGTCATATCGAAAATCATATCATAATCTCACTTTTGCTAGCTTCCGCTTTGACTACACATACCCACATGGCAGTCGCCGTGTGTTTATCATACTGGACTGACTCTAGCTGTTCTTTAGTATATCAATATTTCCTTGTATTTTTATTTCTTGCAGCTTTTTGTGCATCAACACTGTGATCTTTAACTCAAAGTCTTTATGAAATGTCAGTGATCTCGAATTTAGCTATATGCTAATTGCTAAGCAGATATTCAAACGAACGCTAAAAGACTCAAGGGTTTTTGTTGTGAATCTTCCAAAAACACATAATTTAAAGATTGTTCCATTTGTAGTAAGTGCCGTCAATTAAAGAACATGTGGCTCAAACTATTTCCCTCACGCTAGCATGCTAACTACAAGATCCCAGCAGACGAAATATCATGACACTGCAAAACTAGCAGACACAGGTTTGGGTTCTTCAGAAATGAAGCTTTTTGTGGTGACTTTGGTTTGACGCTTCTGAGTCATATGATGCAGTGAGCAGGGAATGATTGCATGGCTTTTAATTAGCTAAATGTATTGGTTATTGTCTAAATAGATTTTTTTTTTTTAAGATGAGAGTCTTTTGTCTATTGACAGTAGTTTCTATGTAACATAAGAACTGACATAAGCTAGCCAACTATTTAAAACTAAAACTATTTATTTTTAGTTTACTGGTGACCATAGACAATGCTAATACTGAAATATTTATCAGAAGTTTAGGGCATGCACACTGTTGGAAAGCAAAATTGTTTAGCATCATTATATATGTATTATTTATTATAATTATATTTCTCAAATCTGTAATCAAAATAGATACAATATTGAATGTTCTAAATGTTATGTTTAAAAAGAATGCTTGGCAGACACCAAAAATACATCAGAACAAAAGGCCAACTTGGGACTTTTTAGTCATCTTCCAGTGTTTGGTTAACCTTATTGATTTGACTATACATGAATCAAGTTCAACTCTTTTTCCGGGTTGACGGTGTTGGATTGGGAATGTTTGTAAATATTGTAAATGCCATGGGAACAAGCACCTGAGAGGCGGTTACGTGTAGCCGACATAATTTTTACTATGACAGCTGTGTGTTTAAACATCTGACCTGTGCCTGGCTTCCTTGAGATTTCAACCTGCGGTTTTAATATAAGCTTTAACATGTTTAGAATCTATACCATCTTAGAAGAATATCATAATAACCCAAATAAGTAACTCTATCTTCTCCTCTCATGACTGTGCTATAAAAGGTATCAATTATGTGTAAACAAAAATCTAAAGGGGAACTCCAGGAACAACCAAAAAAAAAAAAAAAACAAGTTCTGGACTGCCACATCATTTTTTTTTTTTTTTTTTTTTTAAGTCTTGTGACACTACTGGTCTGACTAAAAGACCCCATATATCAAACATTTTTGTTGGTGTTAGTCCATGTTATTAGCTTTGAGGCTATGTATTAGTGTCCTGAAAGCTGACAAAATATACTTGTAGCAGATATACTCTACTTAAATGTTCTTACGGCCTACACATTTTATGTTTTACATCAAAAGTATTTAAATTCTGAGAAAATGGACAAACTAAGGAGCATTTATACGTTAAATCCAATCAGATCTCTCTAGTATGAGAACACCCCTCCCCCTTAATACCACCTGCCACTGATTAGCGTTAGCAAGTTGCAAGTCCATGTTTTGGTGGCTAATATTTCACTCTTCTTTGGGAAATACATCAACATAGGAAAGAAAACAGATCTTCAAAACATCCATCCATCATTGGGTCATGAGCTGTGTGCTGAATTTTAAGGAAAAGGTATGTGGCCAACCGTCTACCTTTTAATTGTACTGCGAGAATCAGTAAACAGCCATGTGTTTTAGGTGCGTTCACACCATGCCATAATTAGGCTACGCTAAAGATTTTGAACTGTAAAAAGCCTTCACGTGCTTGTTGAACTTGTCAATACAACATTCAAACTCGTAATTTTATGAGAGCTTCGACCGCTGTACTACCTGACCACTGTGTGTTTTTACTTGAATCGGCGCTGCTGGCCGCTCGGTGTATGACGTCAAAGTACTGCGCGCGCGATTCAAAAATATACATAGCTTTGTTTACTGTACTTACTACATGGCGTGAACGCAGCATTTAAATTGAAGTCATATTAACAACACACATGTGGATTAACTAAAAGTAAAACAGTAAAAATACTTTTTGTATGTATGTGTATATATATATAAGCATTATTTCAAATGAAAATGGAAAATATAAAAATGAAAAATAATTCAAATATTTAATTAAAATCTCAGCTATAGAAGATAAGAAATCTTTTCTCATACTGTAACTCAACTAACTTTATTACACCTTATTTCGGCACTACTAAAATTTAAATCATCTTCATTGTTAGTTCCTGCAAAGATTCCGAGTAAACACATACTGAAAATATAGAACTAATGCACACTCATTTGTTTTGTATAAAGCAGCTGTCAACAATGCATGTAAATTTGGACTAAGCAGACTGGTCATTGTTGGATCTGAATCTTAGTTGCTTTTGAGGAAAATAACTTATTATTTTTTCTCGAAAGCAACGCACAATATAATAAAAATATCTGTTGATGATGGTGGGAGCCATCTAATAAGATTCAGATCCAAAAATGACCTGTAAGCTTGTAATGCAATTATTAATTTGGCTAAATTAAGCAGTTGAATGTCAGCGGTGCAGATTTCCTTCCTGTTCATTGTTTTAAAGGGTGGAAATGTTTCTTATTAGACTTGATATGCTAGCGGTGGCTGAGTAAAAGGCAAAATGATTAGATCTGCTAACCGGGCCTGGCGTTTTCATCGCTGAGAGTTATGGTAGTTGCGTTCACTGGAACGGCTGGGGAGTTCATATTAATTCGGGCGACTGCTGAATGAAGTGTGTCAGTGGTTATATGGCCACATTATGGGATTCATGTGGGTCTCCAACAAACCACTCCATATTTACCTAAATGAACCACACGCAAACAT